TTTTAAACCAACTGTCATGTAAAATATTCTAACCTAACCAATCTCTCGAAATGTGTCACACTTAACCTCTAAATTCGAATATACTTCCTATTTATCTGGAATATTTTACGCAAAATCTCTGACTGTATTACATTCCACCACCTTAAAAACTTATCCTTTAACACATTCACAATTATTCCACAAAGACCACACAACAATTAAATGTATCAAGAACTCTAAAAAATAAATCAGCGTTTTAAATACTCGAACAAATCTTTAATTACGCACCGCACTTTAAACTGGTCGGTAACTTTCGTGTTGCATAAGAAGTTTCAGAATTCTCGACGTTTATTTTCGTTAATGAAAACGACAATTTGACCAACGAAGTGGTGCCCATTTTTTTGGTATTCGTTTGTACGTTCCAGCAATTCGTGTGGAGCGAATTCTCCGAGGAATACAAGCCGACCGAACGCAGAGAGACTTTCTATCCAAGCGTGGTACTCGCCGATCGATTGTACGAGCTAAAAATCACAGATCTACCGACGATCCCGTACTTTCCAATCAATTCACATCTCGAATGGACAAAGTTTCGTTACTACGGTCTGCGAAGTGCGAACGCTTACGTGCTCGTATTCGACCTCAGCAATCAAGACACGTTTGAGGTATGTATGTAAACATGGTGCGACGATTACGATATTTGCGCCATCTGTCGGTCGTCAAGATAATCTTTAGGGAGAAAAAAGGTTAGGGAGATTCTAGATTCTAGAGTAAAGGACTAAAAAATGAGTACTATTTGCGAATTATTTTTGACGAAATGAAAAGAAATATTAATGTAAAACTTTCTGTACCATATTTATTAACATGTTTTTGTATTAAACTTTATTTTTGGAAAAAATATAAAGCCACTGTACTCATGAGAGATGAATCTAAATAAGTGATAACATTTTGTATACAAGTTGAAAGAAATTAAAATTTGAATAACAATGATAATGTTTAATATCTTTTGCATAAAATTATACATTTCGTTACTTTGTACCGGTTAAACATAAAGTGTAATATTCAATTATGTAAATTGTACTTCAAATACAATTTTTAATTAACATTTTATGACCGTTCCGCTGTTGTAGTCATTGGAAAGAAAATTGAATTTGTAGTAGTCATTTTTGTTTTTATTGTCTACGAGTATCACTTTCAGAAGTTTCAAATAAACGAGTTTGCCCCCGAGAATCTCTTTAAGAAGATTTTCCACCCCAATTGCCGCCAGACACCCCCATTTCATTAGAGATCTTTCTTTATGCTTAACAGAGGGGCGGAAACTTTCTTTACTCTATCATTGTTGCGATTATCGTTCTCTATCTGCACGCCGCTGTTGTGAAATGAAAAACGTGCAACAACTTAAGAAATATCTTCGAAGATTTTCTTCGCGTTATTTTTCCCTCCATTACCGCATTTAAAATTTTAATAAACTTCAATTAAAAAAAAGCCTTCGAGTTCGTAAAAATTTCGATTACTCGATTTAACGGTATATATTTTTCCACTACAAAGAATTTTCATATTACATGTATGAAAAATATAATAAAAATTTGATACTAAAAATGTTTTTCAGTAAATTTGTTAATATTTCTTCCACACCAGAACATTTATTAAATATCCTTCTATCGTGGATACTGAGAAAGTTTCGCTGAATAGCCTGCGATTTTATACGATTATGAAAGTTTCAGAACCGGCAGTGCGAGAAATACAGTTTCTGTTCCATTGATTTTTCAAATAGAACGCCTCGTGATATTCTGAATACTGAAATCAAGACACACGTATTAACCCCTACTTGAATCTTTCACAAACGGCACACCTGAATTACTCTTTCCTTCTGTTGCCGAGTGATACAAAAAAAAGGTCATCAAATATCGAAAGTTTCCCCAATTTATTTTTTTACGGAATGAAGAAATAAAATTATACGCGAAGTGAAAGTTACACATGACGTTCAATACTAACCTGAAAGTTATACTAAAAGAGATGGAAAGTAAATTTTGCTCCTCGATAATACATCCGACTACCTAATAGCGTATCGAATTCCTATTTGTATGAAACTTCTAGTAACCACATTGTTTTCAGATAAAAGAAATTTTTATTATATAAGCTCTTAAATAAAAAGATAATAATTCACTTCAACAAAAGTAAATATTATCGCAAAACTAATAACTAAGAGGTTAAGTAGTGTATATACATACATATATTTTATATGCACTTATAGGTTAATTACAAAGATAGCATATATTAAGATACATGATACCGTAATATTGCGAACACGTTTATCTCCCCTCGATATTCCGCCTGTATTAAAACAGTTTCATTTCTGAAACGGCAGTACATTAGAGCGTTACGAGATCAAATCTACGAGGCACGAGACATGAGGGGAGTACCGTTATTGGTAGTCGGGAACAAGCAAGACGAATTGTCGCCTGCGGCTGCTTCCGGAACTCGCTACAGGGACATCGTTAATCTCGTCCGGAAGCACTGGCGATGCGGCTACGTCGAATGTAGCGCCAGATTTAACTGCCGCGTCGTACAGGTAAGTGCAATACATACATCTCCTATTAACACCACTTTAATCTGACAATCATAATTGAGAAACGCCCCTACAGTCAGGTAAGACGAGTTAATTCGTCAACAAATTTTAACCTGTGAATCGAGGATGACAAAATAACTCGTAATTAGGGAATACCGTTATGATAAGCAAAACGAGTAAACTCGTCGTGTACCTTTAATTTATTAATTGAAACGAATTAACTCGTCATCTTGTAAAGAGTAGGATAAATTAATCTATTACTATATTTTAACTTGTTAACCATGAATAACGAATTAATTCGTCAGTTTAAAAAGGTTTCCGCAGTGGATAAGACGAGTTAATTCGTCTTTGCAAAATTGTAACTACTGTACTGCAGTAAAAAGTTATTTTGGTAAATATCCTTCCTGGTTAACAGGTTAAAGATACCTCGACATATCTTCCACTTGGAACTTTCGTAACTATGAGGTAGAGTCGTAACTATAGCGAATAGTCATTTTACGAAACAACTTGAAAGACCTTCCCTCAAGTGATCTAAGCAAGAAAAGATGTCCCCTAGGTTGCTTCTGAATTAATGCCCAAAAATCTCAGAATTATAGTACAACGATTTTGAGAATTATGATCTTAAACTACTAAAAAGAAAGTATGATTGAGGTATGGAGTTTTTTTTATGAATAATATATTTTTGGTACAAATTATTTAACTTTGTTAAGAAAATATACATCACTTCATCATTTTCACTTTCATCATAGAAACAAACAATGTATTATATAAAAACTATACATAACATAATATGGTACATTTTTTATCAATCCATTTTTTTTTTTTTTTTGAAGTTTTCGAAGCAAGAATAAAACGAAAATCAGGAATAACAAAGTAGAGATTCACCTCTGAAATTTTCTATCGACTATTGCCGAACACCCTGTAGAAATGTAAAATTTATTTTATACATATATGTACACTGAGTCTCATTGATCTTTGCCGAATTTCCAGAAGTAACACAATCGCATAGCGGTGGTGGTTACGATCTAGTTGAAACGCTATTCATAATCATACGCTATTTCACATACATAGAACCACCGGCGGTGTGCATTTATGTTAGTTCTAGGTATTCAGCAAAGATCGATGAGACTCGGTGTATATAATATGTAAGTATATATACTGCTCGTTATAAGTATTTGCACATCCTTTTTTTACTTATTTTATTTAAAGGTGTGGCAAAGAATTAAAAACATATATTCTTCTTCATAATAAAATCCACTGAACCAGTCAAATCAAAAGTAGCAGAAATAAAATATTTCTGAGCGGTAGGCGTATATACTTTTAGAAACACATGATACATCAGACAAAAAGATTATTTTTCATTACTCTAGGTATTATTTGGAAACTTAATATTATAGAATTCCATCCACGAAATTCTAGTAATGTCAACATTTGTTTATTAATACTTTACAATTCATTTGCAATTTTTTATCTGTAATATCTGTTTTTCTCTTATTAATTGAACTTGTCTTTGGTCTAAAATTTCCACTATTACGGTTGGATCTAAAATAATACTTTGTATTTAAATTGTTTATATTAGGAATAACAAATTGTGATTGCTGCTGAAAAATTGAATTTTCAGTATTCGCAGAATCAACATATATTTGTGTCGTTGTTTCTGAACAATTTTCGTCTTCATTTTCTGATATTTGTATTCTGGAATTGAACGATTTCTTACGTGGAATGATGATCGTGTCGTCAGAATTATATGACGCTTGTGTTCGAACATCATCATTTATTTCTTCATTACATATTTCTGAAAGAAGACTTCTTGATTCATTTCCCTGTCTAATTTCATGCATATCTGTTAAACTGTTTTTACACTTGTCATGACTATCGTAATTCCTTAATTGGTTTCTTATTAATGTTAATTCGTTATCACTGGAATCTGAGTCACTTCTAGACAATAATTCTAATATCTCTACAAAATCTTGATTCATCGCTTTTGGATTTGGCGTACTATTTTTCGTATTTTTCGGAATTTTCGAATTTACTACAGGTCCTTTCTCAGGTGTTTTAGATTTATTTATTTCTGCCAATGTAGTCACAGTGTTCATTAACCTTTTGCTACTTCGAAATGTAACATTACTATTAGCATCTTCGCGTATATGAGCAGAATTATTACTTGCTTCCAATGGTAATTCATCTTTATTATTTTGAATATTCTGTTGCAGAATTACAGTTTTATCTCGTTTGTGAACATTTATTGTTGATCTGTCAATTGTTTTTAATGAATTTTGTTTAAGGATATTTCCAGATAATATTTCACTACTACTGCTGTTACATTGTGAACTTGTTCCATTTTGCACCTGCAAATTGTTGCCATTAACACATTCTTTATCTTGTATGTTTGGAACAATACAATTACATTCATGCTGTGTGCTCCATTCAATACAGACGTTTGCTAAATCTTGTTGCTGTTCTGTTAATTCTTCCTTTAATTTAGAGATAAAGCAATTGAAAATAAATAATATATCTATGGCATCTTGCAATGTCGCTTTATCATCCTTAAAATACTTCAATTCTGAACGATACATAAACTGTTGAAATTGTGAAAATTTATTTTTTATCTTTTCCTCAAATTTAATAATGATAGATTTAAAATCTGTAGTATTATTTGGATTCTTATTTTGTTTTTTATGCTGCTTAGAAGTATTGGCCACAAATAAATTTGAATCACTACTATCCTTTTCAGTATGTTCATTGTCTGTTCCTTGATCACACCTTATAATCATAAATTTATTACTACTACTTCTCTTATTGTTGGTTTTTCGGAATTTTCTTTTAGTTTGATTTGAAGATGTAGATGAATCAGAATAAGATTCATTCAAATCAACACACATATCACTATTCTTGTTATTTTTGAAACGTTTTCTTTTATTTATTTTAGAAGCTTGTATGTTATTACTGTCAGATGTGCTTAATTTGTGTAAAAACCTTTTTTGTGGAGGTGTTTTATCATTCATTGGTACATTATTTATTGAATTTCCTTTCACAATACTATTCCTATTATGCACTGTTTCAGAATTTTCCGACACATTTGTTTTATACAATATAGTATCAGATAATGAATTGCTAGAATCACTTGGTATAAATATTCTTTTTCTTTTTCTAAAACAAAAATAATATTTAATATATCAATTTTGTACAGTTACATTTTAACATTAACCTCATTTAAAAAGGCTCACATAAAATTTATAACTTAAAATATGCATAAATTAAATTTCATTTCATTGCACAAACTATTAGATTATATAACATACAATATCGGATTTCGAATCATTCCCAAATTGATCATTCAAATAATTAGTTGAAAAGTTCTGAGTGTTTCTGTATTAAAGTTCATACAATTTTGGATAAGTTGAGGAATCTAAGGATTGATATTAAGTGTCAATCAAGACTAACGTGACATTTTAATCCGACACTACATATTACACGTTCTAATCTAATTTTATTAAAAAATTGCGTTAAAAATATGCATTATGTTATATTATAAAAATGCAATACAAACAAAGTAAATTAAATTCCGAAATAACTCAATAAAATAACGAAATTTTATGATTAAAAGAATTACCTCGAAGTATTCATCATGGCAAAAACAAAATTATATCTGTCAAAACAAAACAAACCTAGCTGCTAATGCTTTCATTTCCCTCCACTCAAAAATGCGCACCTTACGTCGTTCATAACGCCACAGTTATGTTGTTCACAAGATACGCCTTAAATTTCAATACTAAATTCTTACACCGTAAAATGATTTTATGTGTTCAATTTTATCGACATGCAGATTGGAATATACCATTAATTTATTTTGACAGCTTACTTATAAATTGTAAGTTTGTTTAAGTAAATGACGTTAATTTAGTACACTTTTAATAATATGAAGTTAAACAATTGTCGCGGAATTTTTTCGGTATCTTAAGTTGTATCGAACGATCTTACGAAGTGTTGCCAACGGCACCGAACAAAACTTCCTAGAACATAAACCTGAATCCAATGTAAAAGTTCGAACATTCCCAAGCAACGAATTAACAAATAATTGCTAAATAAATTTCATCTGTCTATTTCTTACAAATTTTCGTGTACATCTGTGAACATCGTAAGACAATGACGCATTATTATGTAAACTATACTTAAAACTGTCTCACTCGCTTTCATACTTTTCCTGTTCATAATGAACAAGCAATTAGATATTATTCATCGCTGTTGGCAATAACAAAACAAGTATATATTATTTTCTAACGAATTACAGGTGTTTCGAGAATTGATGAAGAATATCCAAGCGGTAGAAGGCAGACCACCTTCCCCTACACCCGCCCCCTCGCAACCTCTACGCTCTCATCCACACGACACCGGAGAAAAGTGCATTCTTCTCTGACATTGAAACCAGAAAATCAGCGTGCTCGACTTTTGCGACTACATCATCAAGAAAAGCTGCTTCTACCCATACCATGGCGCAGGGTCGTAGCCTGTTTAAGGATGAACGAGGTCGATGGAAGGATGATTTACTCGGGAGAATTAAAAGATCCTTAATGCGATAGCTCAAATCCGCCAGAAATCTCAGAACAATTCTTCCCGACGCTCGTCTAGTCGAGTTGTAATTCGAAATATAGGAGTTCACGAACCAGTTTGGTTGCTCGATCAATAATACAGAACGCTGTATTACGATTGTTTGGTATATACTACATTGGAGTCTTTCATGGAAAGCGCGGCCATCTTTTATGCATGAATGGCAGACATTTCAAATTTGACGCTTCTTTCTCGCTGCAAACTGTTGTGTTTGTTCTTTCGTTTTTTTTTTTTTTTTTTTTTTTTTTTTTTTTTTTTTTTTCTTTTTTTTTTTTTTTTTTTTTTTTTTATATAAATTTAACGCTATGAGTACAAATCAGGGTGAATAAGAAAGAGTGATTTTATAATAAGTCTTATAACAATATAATTTTATTACTTTTTGGGGAGAAATTTTGATGTCGCTTGTCAATTTTCATGAAAAATCTCACGAAGCTCATGAATTACTACCTATCAGTATTATGAGAGTAAGATATTAATGATAAATGAATAACGATGAAAGTACCGAGTGTACTTCGCGAATCGAAGAACCTTTAAATCTCGTCTGTGAATATTTCCACCGAAGCTGCTCATCGTTTAACTTTAAACACTGAAGAAATAAATGCAATCATGTTGTACAACTGCTCTATCGCGTTGAGAACAATGACGAAGTTGCGAATACGCGTGCTCGAAACCGACTGCCGAATCCCTCTATGTACAATTTACTTTCGACGTTTTATTTTGTAATTCGCTCTGTACATAATATGTCCTGTGATTTTTATATTCCATACAGGGTAACCAATATTAATTTATAAATGTATTTATCTTCACTTCTCGAGATTCCTTATTGGAATTTCGTTGAATTTTCAGAAAACTTACAATAACTTCTTTTACCTCTGTGTTTTCTTAATGTATTGTATCCTCAATATGAGAGATAGTATCGTTTATCTACAATATTAGAATTTTGCCACCCAGTTAAAACTGTTTTATTTCAAAGGGAGAAAACCGACGAAATCTGCGTACAAATGCAAGAAACTTTGCTCTGTTGTTCATGTTGCTTTATCTGTGATACGTTTCACTTTTGTCAGTATAGTTTCTTGCCTAATAATAATAATAATAATAATGATGATGATAATATCGAACAAATAAATGTAATAATAGTGTGTTATTGAGAGTTACCTCAGATCAAGCAATAGCCTATACAATATATATATATTTTACTATACTGTTAAGGAATAATCACTAGCCAAGTAAGCGTAGCTGTTGATATTGTGAAGTACCGTACACCTACACATATGCAGGTCTCTAAACAGAATAAAAAGTGTGTATTAACCGTTGTTATCGTTTGTACGTATTTTAACGTAACAAACATAATGCATTATAGGCTCAATGATTAATATGTACCGATCAACAAGAATTGAAAGAATCGTTGAACGATCGTTGCAAGATTTTCTGTTAATTGTCAGGATCGAGAGAACATAACGCCAATAACGATCAATTGTTACTTAATTTCCACATGATCAACTTGTTGTCCAGCACACGTGTAGAACACGCAGAATTGAATATACGTAAGTGTTGAGTATATCGAGTATAGAGCGACATGCAATATAAAAAGAAAAAAAAGCAACTGTACATTACGTGACATACAAAACATGTGTTCGTTGGAAAATAAAGAAATCTTTGTACCGAAATAGCGAATCTAGACGCGGTAATCTAGAACTACGGCGCGAATTTGTACATCTTATCGAGAGCGCGTCGATCAAGCGCCGTTTTACATACATACAAAATACCAAGCATTATTTTGTATGCAGGAATAATGCAATAAAACAGAACAAACGAAAAACAGATCTGCCTTCGATGTATTTTTTACCTATTCCTCGTATATGTTACTTACCTATTTCTTTTTAATTTAGATAATGTTGGATGAATGCAGATATGCAAATATTATTGAACTAGACAGAAGAAAAGATTAAAAAATAAAAGATATTCAACTTAATAAAAAGTTCTAACACCTTATGGGACTTTGTGTCCGCGACATGGGGGCCGAGAAGACCCTTACCATTTTCGTGTCCTTTCCAACGTTACCGATTTAGCATAGAGTAAGATTCTAACATAAGTAGTGATTGGAATTAAAATTCAACGTAACTATGAAATTACATAGAAGAAAGTAACGTAACTGTTAATTAGTAGATGATTCATCGCATGCGCGTGGTCTACTACTGTCAAACGATCGTGAATAATTCAACTCACGCAATTCAACGTGCTCGATTGTGTTTACTACGCAGAATAACTCTTCCAGGTATTTAACAATACAGAAACGAGTTAGACAAGGAAAGGTATAGGGATAGACAAGGACAGAGAATTTTCAGTTCTGAAGCAACGCCATCTCGCGTTTGGATTCGCGAACTAACGACTCGTTACTCAGATAACAGAATATAAACAGAGGTATTAGACAAGGAAAGCACTAGTGTGCGACAAGGACAGAGAGAGAACGTTTCCTATTGGCTGGCGGGCCGCCATGCTCCAACTCTCAGGCCCCAAGTTAAGTCGGTCGGTGAAAAATCATTAATAACTCAATAATTACGATTATTTTGTGAACTTTTAGAATTGAAGAATGAAGTGTGGACCTTCAGCAACTTTCTCATATAGTTTTCAGTGCTCTAAACCCTTCCAATAATTAGTTATTAACAATTTTAGTACCGAATGTCGGGAACGATACCGCGTACCGTCAAGTAACTTTACGGTTTTTCAATAATTTCACAGCTTTGTACTAAATTCTCGTGCAACTAACTATACGCATCTGAAAGATGACTCTTTTGGCTACATTCTCATATAAATTTTATCGACATATTCCGTTTAGTTTAAGAGTTATTAAATATTATATGGGTGAGTCTCCTATTCATCATGCTCGAGTACAGTCAACTGTTACAAACAATTACTAATATCTAATAAACCGCACCACTTATGGCTACCAAACTAATTGCAGAATATAGACAAAAGTTTATTCTACATTCTTCATGCTTTAAAGTGCATAATTAGGCACGCATTTCGATTGAAATAACGAATATGTGTTACGCTTGAATGCGACGAGTGTAATACTCACCCATATAATATTTAGTAACTCATTATTTACGGAGAATTTGTGAACTTTTAGTATTGAAGAATGAAGTGTGGAACTTTAGCAACTTTCCCATATAGATTTTAATGCACTAGACCCTTTCAATAATTAGTTATTAACAATTTTAGTAGGAGATGTCGGGGACGATACCGCACACCTTTACAGTTTTTCAATAATCTCACAGCTTTCTGCTAAATTCTCATGCAAATAACTATATGCACCTGAAAGGTAGCTCCTTTAGCTGTATTCTCATGTAATTCTTATTAATTCATTCGGTTTAGTTTAAGAGTTATTAAACGTTTTATGGGAGCGTCTCCTATTTATCGTACTCGTGTATAGTCAACTATTAGAAACAATTGCTAATATTTATTAAACTACATTATACACACATTTAAAAATTGTTGTAGAATGTAGAAAAAGGCCTATACTATATTCTACATGCTTGAAAGTACAAAATTAATCGTACATATTCATGAAAATGACAGAAATCCGTTACGCTTGAATGCGACGTGTGAAGTACTCACACAAGAAATATTTAGTAACTCATTATTTACGGAGAATTTGTGAACTTTTAGTATTGAAGAATGAAGTGTGGAACTTTAGCAACTTTCCCATATAGATTTTAATGCACTAGACCCTTTCAATAATTAGTTATTAATAATTTTAGTACGGGATGTCGGGGACGATACCGCATACCTTTACAGTTTCTCAATAATTTCATAACTTTCTACTAAATTCTCATACAAATAACTATATGCATATTAAAGGTAACTCCTTTATCTACATTCTCATATAATTTTTATTAATATAGCCCTTGTACTTTCATAGTTATTTAGCATTCTTTCTGTGAGTATTACACCCGTCGCATTCAAGTGTAACCCATATTCGTTAGTTCAATCGAAATGCGTGCCTAATTATGCACTTTAAAGCATGAAGAATGTAGAATAAACATTTGTCTATATTCTGCAATTTGATTCGTAGACGTGAGTGAAGTGGTTTAATTGATATTAGTAATTGTTTGTAACAGTTGACTGTACTCGAGCATGATGAATAGGAGACTCACCCATATAATATTTAATAACTCTTAAACTAAACGGAATATGTCGATAAAATTTATATGAGAATGTAGCCAAAAGAGTCATCTTTCAGATGCGTATAGTTAGTTGCACGAGAATTTAGTACAAAGCTGTGAAATTATTGAAAAACCGTAAAGTTACTTGACGGTACGCGGTATCGTTCCCGACATTCGGTACTAAAATTGTTAATAACTAATTATTGGAAGGGTTTAGAGCACTGAAAACTATATGAGAAAGTTGCTGAAGGTCCACACTTCATTCTTCAATTCTAAAAGTTCACAAAATGACCGTGATTATTGAGTTATTAATGATTTTTCACCGACCGACTTAACTTGGGGCCTGAGAGTTGGAGCATGGCGGCCCGCCAGCCAATAGGAAACGTTCTCTCTCTGTCCTTGTCGCACACTAGTGCTTTCCTTGTCTAATACCTCTGTTTATATTCTGTTATCTGAGTAACGAGTCGTTAGTTCGCGAATCCAAACGCGAGATGGCGTTGCTTCAGAACTGAAAATTCTCTGTCCTTGTCTATCCCTATACCTTTCCTTGTCTAACTCATTTCTCTAGTGCTATCCTTGTCTACCCCTATTCCTTTCCTTGTCTGACCCATTACACTAGTGCTATCCTTGTCTACCCATATTCCTTTCCTTGTCTAACCCATTACACTAGTGCTGTCCTTGTCTACCCATATTCCTTTCCTTGTCTAACCCATTACACTAGTGCTATCCTTGTCTACCCCTATTTCTTTCCTTGTCTAACTCGTTTCTCTAGTGCTATCCTTGTTTAGCGCTATTCGTTTCCCTGTCTCTCTTCGCTATTGCTATCCTCGCCATTCCTGTTATATTTAATTGATACTTATAACCAATTTTTAATTGCTCTCACATTACTAATAACGTAGATAGTAAAATACAGTTTCTGTTTTATTTTCGAGTACTTCAATTATAAAGCAATTAGTGTTTCTTGTTAAATAAGTATTTAAATGGTTCTTTAGAATTATTAGAAGTCTTAAATAAAATTATTGCACAATTTCACTTAATAAAACAGCTTAATTTATTAATTTCACATTGAATTAAAAATTGAACGCAGTAGATTAGTTAGGAATTGTTTGTAACTTCGATTGAAGATTGAAAAATTAATCTTCTTCTTGCGTAAATGAAAAACAGAATTTTCAAGCCACCATACGAATCAAGGAAAAGACTTCAACGTCGGGAAAATTAAAGAAATACAATTATTTATCAATATATAAATTATTTATTGTACGAGATAACTGTACAGAATGTATTTTACAAAAGGTTACAACATGCCATTATTGTTTTACAATATTTCAGTCAATTTGCTGCCGTTAGACATATTTGTAATACATAGAAAGAGAGAGTCGTGACTCTGTTTGGAATGCCAACTTAAACATCTAAAATTTGGGTCAGCGGTGACCCAGCAACCGTCGTCCGAATGTTAATCAAGGCTAATCCTCAACATTTCTACCAATTAATGCTTCATTATTGTATAAAAAAAAAATAAATAAGTAGAATAAAATAAAATTCGAAGATACAGGAGGAAATAACAGAAAACAAAGAAGCATCTTTTCAATTTCGATCCAAACCGATCTTTCTCCTCTCACTTCGGAGCACAGGAATAGCAAACTATCACGCTTTATTCTACACGAACAGATTTCTCGGTTTAAATTTAAGTAAACATGAAAAGGAATAATAAATAGTACAGCGGATAGATTTTTATATTACCGTGGGCAAATCCTTCGTCAAGGAAATGATTTATATTTGAGGTGAAATATTTTCGGAAGAGAAATTTCTGACAAGATGCTTCAGACTTGGAGAGGATCATGTCGCGGCAACGTGAGGACGACCATTCTAAAGAATGTGAGGAATTGCAATAACGTTGGAATCGATTTACCGATGTACGAGGTTACTCGCAGCCAATTTGCTTTTCAAAATTTATTTGTGACCTTAATACAAGCAAAAATATTAAAAAACTTCGGAAACACACCTTAGAATATGTTTCATATGTTACTGTACGTATAAAATGTTCTTTTTTCATTCTTTCTCTACCGATAACAATTGATTCCGAAATTTTTTTCACAAACTTAACAATTTTTTCTTTCTATTGATAAATTAACATCAGACATTTTTCCATACTGTTTCATACATTTTTTTTGTTTTTATTTAATTCTTCTTCTCTTCTTGTTTTTTATACATGAATTTTGCAAAGATGTGCATTGAATGTTAAGGTAAGTACAACGAGGGGAGTTCCCAGTACGAGTACAAACTTGAAGGAGGCTTTATGCGAAAAAATCCCGGTACATTACGATCTGCTGAGGAATTTCCGCCAACAACATGGATCCTCTGTCGTCAGCCATATTACCGTCGATGATATTTATAAAGGATTGAACGGTGTAAACACTATGGTTAGAGAAACCGCTGAGATTGATCCAAAATATGGGGTGAATATTATTATCTCGCTGCCTTTATTATTTTCATATTACAAATCGGCGATGGTAATACATTTCGTGAAAAATTTCAACTATTCAACAAAATTAATCAAATCAGCTAATAAATACAGCGTAACTGGTGAAAATTCACACCTGCACTGAAATTTCACTAGAATTGAATTTTTATAATAATATTCGACTAACTGAGTAAATTCAGAATGTTAAATTATTTTCCATATATTACAGACAAAAATATTATCGAATGTAAATTAATTTTCTATCTCTGTATCTATTAAAACCTAATTGCCGTTGCTGTCAATTTACACCTGCATTGACATTGCAATTCAATTTATTTTTCAAGTTTTATCAATGAACTTTTAAAGTACGATCAAATTTTTATAATAAAATTTCATCCAACGAGTGAATTCAGAATGTTAAATATACAACTTCACTGAATAACAATTACTGGTTTCTTTTACTTTCTATGTATTACAGAGATAAATATATTATCGAGCGTAAATTAATCTTCTATCTCTGTACCCTTGAAAAGTTCTAAATTAATGAACATTAACAAAGAAACTGAAGATTTACAAACATTTGCATGTCATTTACAAGACATTTATGGAGAAAATAATATAATTAATTTCCAATGAGAAAATAATTTTCTCCATAAATGTATCATTGAATAAAATGCAAAGCAATCGTGTGAATTAAGAAAATCACTTCGCAAATATACGTTTACGCTTAGATTAAGTACCGAGGGCTGACAATACCGGAAGTTGTCACCCTCTTACCCCACGAAGGAAAGTCACCGAGCGCAGAATCTGTGTTCTGGCTGTTGTTAACCGGCGACATCCCAACTCGAGAGCAAACAGCATCCCTGATCGCCGATTGGTCGGTAAGACGTGAAAAGAAGAAAGATTGGTGGTCAGGACCGGGTGGTGGAATTGTCGGTTCCGTTCTCCAAACTCTGCCAAAGACGATCTCGCCTCTTGCACGATTATCGGTGGCTCTCACTGTCCTTGATTCTGGCAAACATACAAAGAAAGCTTTAGAAATTAGTGCTTTGACTCACACTCATTGGGAAGTGAGTGGGTTGAAATATATCTTATTACCTGTATAACGAACATTCTACACGGTGGTCCAAAGCAACTGTTACACGTTATAACTCCGTTACCAGTTATTCTTAAGCCCAGGGGACTTGAATGGTAGAGATAACCAGAGATCACCTTAACTCTGTAATAGAAATAATTGAAAAACGTTGTATGAAATGTGTACAGTGTAATGTAGAAGCGTTAAAGCGTTTTCCTTCATAAAGACACTTTTTTAAAAATATCTCTATAACTTATCTTTTTTCCACCATTATACCTCCATACTTTTTTACATAGAATAATCAGAGGAATCTATCTGTGCGAAGAAAAGTGTGTATTTCCATTTGAAAAAATAATGCAATTGTTGATTACACGTGCATCGTTATACTTGTAAAAGAAAAACGTGGTCCTACGGATGTAGTGCTCTTTGAACCATTCACCTTCCTCCTGTGACATTTTCCTGTAACTGTAATGGTAACGGAGTTATAACGTGTAACAGTTGCGTGGACCACCACGTATATTATACCGAAAATTTGTAATTACAAATTACACAGTTAGATTCGAAATTTGGTAGGTAATTCTATTGAAATATTTAGTTTTGTTTATTTTTGTAAATTTGTAAAACTGGAATTAGATTTGCAGATTTGCACTCCATTTTTTTTTCAAAGATTTTGTTATCGGTCGATATTAGAATTGATTTCGAGGAATGAAGTATTATCGAACTTATTATAATTATTCTTTTAAGTATACGTACGAAGATAGTATGGAATTTCTTGCAACATTACCAGCAATAGTTGGTTTAGTCGCCAAAAGCGAAGGGTTGAAGAACGTGAAAGAGGAAGAAGGTGATTGGGTGCAGTTTTTATCCGAATGTTTGTATAACTCGTTCGACATTTCGGAAAATCATAGAAAAATGTTGATGGACTTTCTTCGATTATACATTGTCCTAAACGCGTGAGCAAATTTTTATCTTAGTCTTCTTAAAAAACATTTATGAATACATGTAATTATCGATCGTAAAAAATAAATTTTATATTTCACCATAAATTTCAGTTATCAATTAAATATTTCATTTGAAATTATGTAACTTTTCATTAACTAAGTTATTTATTAACTGGAAATTGACATCTGTTAATTTTCATTTCCGAATTAAACTTTAGTTTATTGTTTTGAAGTTTTATCAAACAATTTTCAAACTAGAATTAAATTTTTGTTATAAAATTGTATCCATCAATCTATTGTACAGTAATTTACAATCCTCAAATCAATTGCTATACAGATTGAATTTTAAAATTGAAAAATTATATTGGTATATTTTCCTTCTCTTTTTTTTATTTAATAATTATTTTGAGACTTAATTTCCAAAATTTATGCTGTAAAATTTTTTCTATCCAGGGACGAAGATGGTGGAATTCCTGGTATTCATGTGACAGAAATTCTCGGAGCTTCTCAATTGGATATCAATCAAGCCATAGCGGCTGGAGTGTTGGCATATGCTAATGAACCTAAGAGCGGTACAATGTCGCAAGTAAATGAGACAATTTTTAATAATTTCACTGTCCCACATTTTTCAAATAATCTGGAAAATTATATTGATATAAGATATGGAGATTATTTGAAAATAAATGTACTTCTCCCTGTAATTATAATTCGAAAAATGTTAATTCTAATAAATTATTCTAAATTAATTTCTACGTTAATAAATAGTGCATGGAATTTCAAACAAAAACACGACGTCTCTTTGGCCGAGAACCGAAAGAGGAAAGATTGAGAAATTATGCGGCCACTTTAATTAAACAAGACAGGTTAATTGGTTACGTTGATTCAGAATATTGTGATCCACGGTATACCGCGATACTGAATTACGCTAGAGAATATTTGCCAAATGATACAGACGTGAAGGTACACAAACACGCTTTCTTTATATGTCATCGAATTCCACTTCACAAGAATTTTTATCTTATTTTATTTTTTAATTTAATTATAACCTGTGTCATCATCGCGAATCTTTATGGAAAAAATTTATTTTCAATTTTTCACGAATAAACCTATAAAATAATGTAAAATAAGTTTAGTTGAAAAAAATTTGTGTGCAGTTATCGCAAGCTGTGACTCAAATACTTACCACAATAATGAAAGCTGCAAGAGGAAAAAATATTTTCCCCGAACAAAATGCTATTGCAGCGCCAATTTTTCAGGTAATACAAATGATTTCAGTATTTTAATCCATACCTATTTAGTACCATAATTGCAGCTTATTGTATGTTCGTTGCGTATGTTTCTAATTTTCAAGTTCTATGGATTGAAGGACATGAAATTCAATCAAGTGTTATTGTGCATGT